TGTTGAACAATTATCCAATGTATTTCAATTGCCGAAGTAGTTTTCAATTTCAAATGTGATTTTAAAATTAGGTTATTTCCGCAAAATTGATTGACAAAATTAGGGCGAAAGACGATGACGTGGCAATCCGGGTTAACAGAACTCGGGGCGCTACCGAATTTATCAGTGAAGTTGTAACAATTGGAAGAATTGACCATGTAAATCATTGTGCAACTTGTTGGATTCTGCATTGAAGGTTCAAAACGAGCTCTAATATGTGAGTATATGCCTAATGGTTCTCAAGATTGAACTAAAACCTCTTAGAATGTCTCCCGGAAAACTGTATCCCATTTATCTTTTATGTATGAATGAATATTAGAGTGGCCTAATACTAATATAAAATACTCGATAACTAAGTCGAGATTGATAAATAAACAACACAATTATATAACTTCTGCGCGATATATTTTCTACGCTCTTCTTTTTTGAGGTTAACAAAATTATCTCAAACAGTGGCATCCTCTCAGTTCTTGAATGCATGGGAGGTACCAGAGTAAACTAAGGACAATATTTCTGAATATAAAAATATGACCGGGAAGCTTCTTGCCATGGCTTTCAGATACTAGATACCCACACGAATGTACTTGACTGGCACTACTCCAAATGCATCTAAGAAAACCCATGGCAATTACCGCTTCGTCAGTGTTCAATCTTGAGGTAATGCACAGGCACAGCTGTTATATTAGCTGTCTGGTTGACCATCCCACCCCACCCCCACTCCCTACTTGGCATTTTTTACCTTATCTTTCTTGGATCTCTTAGGAGAGGAGCGACGCGATTCAGTTTGTGGAAGTGAAGGAAGCCCACGACACACATGAATACCCTGTTCACGGCCAAAGCTATTAATTGACACGGGAGTCAAGACAGGCCAATGGTGATGGCAGAATTAAATTGAACCAGATTTGTCATATTCATCAATGAGTCTACTACTGCCTAATCATCTTAGAACTGTCAACAAAAGAGGCACAAAAAAAAAATTATAATTGAAGGAATATATAATTGGAAAATATATGATAGATTCATCAATCCTGATCATAGGAACCAGTTTTACAGCAACAAACAATTATGTGAAAACTAGTATAAAGAGGAATGCAAAGTCAAATATGTTGGGAGGAGATCACAATTAGCTCACACAAATCAACAATAATATATATGCTAAAACAGAAACCAAATGAATGAACCGAAAAATATAAAGTATAAAGATGAAATAACACGTATCTTTTATTCAAAATTGCCCTCAGGCCAAATCACAAACTGTACAGTTCAAATCTTATGAATAAACCACCGTTTATATACGAGTCAAAACCCAAAGTAGAAATACAAAGGTAGACACTCAGACTAGACCTATATTTCACACAAAATGAGATCTCCCTTCGAATACAACTCACGGTTCACACAAGAATCAACACTCAAAAAAGGAAATCATACAAGATTACACTCTGTTGAGAGAAAATCATAATCAAAAGAGTATATTTGATTTCTACAGAAAAAAGAGAAGATCTCCAGAAACGGCGTAGCAAGATAAGAGAAAATCAGAAAAGTCTCGAAGCCAGAGTGAAGTCTCAAACCCTAGAAGACCCCTTTAAATGAGCAACTCAACAGTCACCAATCCAACGGTGTTGGAGGCGACACGTGGTGACATTTGAAGCGTCCAACAAATCAGATAAGTAAAAAACACGATTTTAGCTTTTAAAGAGAATGTTTTCTTTCACCAAGTAAACCAATAGAAAATGAGCTGGGCTTCAATGCCAGCTGGGTCAACACAATATGGCCTAATGGTCATTGCATCATTGTGTCATTTTCCCTTCAAAATCAACTCAATTAATACAATCAGTGTTTCACTGAATTCTCCTAAACCTCATCTAAGAGAAAAGTCAATTCGTTTCCTCCACAAAGTTATTGTTACTCATCAGCAATGTCATTAACTATGCATCTCCAATTGTTGGAACTTGACCTTCCCATCATTCAACAGATTCCTGCATAATACACAAAATCTGTAAATAAAACTGTCGTGCACATGTTTGGTAAAAAGTACTCGGTAAAACTACAAAATTGAATAGTGTAGTAGAAAATTATGGGAGA